GCAGTTGTCTGCCTTCTCTTGGAAGATTTGCCTCTTCTAAAATGTGATTAAACTGTGATCCTATAATGAACATATCATGTTTTATATGTGGGCCCCTTCCTGGGTAACATCTTAGTTGGTCCCAGCTTTGGGTGATTAGATTCAAACTTGGAATTAATATCCACATGTGGATTTCTAGGCACTTGCAGTTTTTAGTGATTGTGAATGAATCTGCTGTAATTATTCACATGGAGGTTTCCCTATGGCAAATGTTTTGGATGTATTTATTTAATCTTACACTGGCATCTATTTAGAAAACACCCCAAGAGTAGTAGCTGGTCAATGCCAGTTATACTCATGTAGATAATAATATCAGATTAAAATAAGGGCTGACTTAGTCTTCAAGCACTTCATGGGTACAGCTGAGGTCCCATGATATTTTCTTAAATGTTTTTTATTTATTTATTTATTTACGATAGTCATACAGAGAGAGAGAGAGAGGCAGAGACACAGGCAGAGGGAGAAGCAGGCTCCATGCACCGGGAGCCCGACGTGGGATTCGATCCCGGGTCTCCAGGATCGTGCCCTGGGCCAAAGGCAGGCGCCAAACCGCTGCGCCACCCAGGGATCCCCCCATGATATTTTCAGGTGCAAAATAATTTCTTTCATTTAATTCAAATCACAAAGAAAAGAATGAATATAAATCAGCATAGAAGTAAGTGTTCCCCAGCTGATAAAGACAAGAAATTTTTGTTTTCATGAAGCCTCTTTGTCTACAAATGGGCTGCTCTGAGTAGCTTTGAGGACAGAAGGGACAGGAGGAGCCTCATTTGCATGTGGTTCCCCTGCATGGACCTTGGTCCATGACGTCAGCAGCAGGAGGATAAGAAGCAGAAATACAAAAAATAGGCATTCCCCTGAAGACTAATGGGAGGACAGCATAGCACTGAAACTTGAACAAATAGGTAAATGACCAAGGATAGGAACCCCAGATTCCTCAGATGTCAGGTGAGAGATGAACACAGTGGGCTTACCACTCCCTTGTCTCTGAATTGAGGTCAAAGAGATTCTGTGTCCCAACCAGATGGGAGCCATAGCCCTTCTGTGTCTTCTGAGACCCCTTGTCTAGGAAGGGGCTGCTATGAGTTCTGGGGGAAGGGAGGGAAAGAGGAGCCTTCATTCCCACGTGGTATCCTTGGAGAGACGTGGGCCATTGGTGGCAGTAGCAAGAGCATCAGAAGCAGAAGCCACAGGCTGAGCCTCATCAACACCTGGAGACCCATTCTGGCAGATGAGAAAAGGGTTCTGATCTCAGTTCTGACAAGCGAGGGGATCTGCATGAGCCCTGAGATGCTGTCACAGGAGCTTTACTGGGGGGGCCCCTTCATCTTCTGTCCTCAGCCCAGATGGCCAGAGAACCAGAGTTGCTGTTGACCAGGTGCTCCAAGGGTCTAACTATCATAGTAGATGAGAATTGGGGGCCTATTCATGGGAGCTTTCAGTCTCAGGACACATATTGGACATTCCTGATGTGTCTTAACTCTGATGCAGTTGAATTCTGTGCCCGTGGTTCTTCCTTTACATCCTGGACTCTGTCCACTGTCTAGACAGTCCCTGGCACCAAGAATTTCAATTCATTTTGATAAAATTCCCCGTATGTTGCTGCCAAGGACAGGGTTGGGAGATAGATTTTAAGCCCATGGGGACAGAACTGTATGCAAAATTCTCTGCAGTGAGCCTCAGATCTGGATTTCAGCCAAAGAGAAAGGAAACAGCTGACTTGGCCAGGAAGTCTGGGCAGGATAAGGAGCTCCACTGCTGTGAGAATAGCAGGTTTTTCTCTAACAGCCCAACAGGCCTGGATCACTGGAGAAGCACTACTAATCAGCCTATTTTTCAGTCTGGAGCCCGTAGGTGGTCAAGGAGCCAGTGATGCCAAAACCAGAGCCAGAAAATTGATTGGGGACCCGAGGATCAATGGCTATTGCCATAGATGAGGAGTCTGGGGTCTGTCCTTGCAAGCTGCTTGTACCATTTCACACCATAATCACCAATACCGGGACTCTTCCGAGGGAGGAGAGGGTGACCCTCTGGCCAGGGCCCCAGACCCTAACAGTGGCTGAGTCAGCACAGACTGGGCCCAGGACCCTACAAGGAGGAGAGACATAGACAGGGTCAGCAGGCCTAGTGAGCAGACCTCGGGGTGGGTGTGGTCGTGTAGGGGGCAGGAACCTGAGTCGGGGCCCTGGATCTCCTCCCCCCAGTGCAATATAGGGGACAGGAGTCCTGCAGGCCTGATCCCTCAAACCAGGCTGGCTCCTGGAGCTTTCCCTGCAGCATCCCTGGAGCATGTGGGGTAGTAGAGTCCTCCCGTCTGCTGCAAGTCCTCAGGGGTGAGCCGTGTCTCCGATGAGGTGAGACCTGCCCCTCTTCATCTCCCACAAGGGAATGTTCAGGGAAGATTGAGGACAGTGAGTGTGTGTTGGGAGGGATGTTTGCAGACCTTCAAACCCCAGGGGGAGGAGGAATCATGGAGGAGAACAAGCTGAATGTCCAAGGTCAGGCTGCAGTGCCTGGACATCAGGTGTCATGAAGAAGTGGGGATGGAGATGAACCCCAACCTTTGCACCCACCTGCACACCCCCAGGACTCCAGCCACAGGGAGGCAGAGCTGGCGGTCTCTCTCATCCCTTCATCCCCCTGGGGGAGGAGCACTGCATTATGGTCACTGCTCCCCACTCTCATTTCCTCCTCCTGATGTCATTGAAGGGCCTCGGTGGACTCCCCTAAGGTCTGGGAGCCTTGGGCTGACAGCAGGTGGGCCCTGGACCCAGACATATGCAGGGGCTGCCTTCCCAGCTGCAAGCATGCCATGGGCACCAGGGGCAGGCACCCAGTCTCCTGCTGCCCCAGCCCTGTTTGCTCTAAATGAGATGAGTTGAGAGGCCCCCAGAGCAGAGCTCCATGGACTCCAGTGCTATGGGTCCCCTACCCATTGGGCAAGGAGGACAGGCCACAAGTAGGTCACACCCAGCCTTCCTAAGGCTGCCCCTCATGGCCCCAAATGGTTCAGAAACCTCTATTGTGGCTCCTCCCTATGGAGTGTTTCCATGTGTCCCAACTGCCCCTCTTCTTCTCTAGGATTAGAGTGAGGCATGTGGTCAGCCCATCCGTCCCCAGGGCAGGAAGCTGATGGACCGAGACATCAACGATGCTGTCCCCATGGACTCCGGTGTCTGTCACCAAAGCCTGGTCTCTCTCTGTCTCTCTCTGTCTCTGTCTCTGACCCCAGCCCCTTCCTCTGTCAGCTGAGCCTCTGTCCACATTCCTGGTGGGGAGGCCACAGCTCGCTCTGTCTCTATGATGACCTCTGTTTGTTGCCCCAAGTGTGTTCTGTAATTTACAGGCTTATAATTAGTCGACCCTTACTTTTACAAGTTTCCTGTGTTGTAGCTGAAGGACCTCCTGCAGTCGTCACCAGAACCACAAGGGCAGGTGCGACCTTGACATTGGTTTTGGAGAGGCTGAGACCCTCACAACACAGGACCCTCTGTTCCTGAAGGGACAACGCTGGCTCCCACCATCTGTGACCATGGAGGTCATGGTTCGATCCCAGGAAAGTCTCTGGCACATCACAATGACTGACCCTCAGCCCAGGGGTCACACACGGTCATCTGGACTATGGGGCTCATGTGCAGTATCTTAGCTCTCTTTTCAAACTGTCTGTTCAATCTTCATCAGGTCCCCTCCTTCCTGACCTCCCCATTCAGGGACACAGGGTCACACTTCCTTGGAGCAGTGGATGGGATGATGTCACCCTGTGCCCCATCACAGCCCCCAGAAACCTAGATGACATTATCTGCCTGCACAAAGGTGCTGTTGCTCTGGGGTACAGTTTACTGAGCTGTGACAGCACAGCAGTGTGGTGCGTCCCCTGTCACAGGGCCATGGAGGAGAGTGACATCACCACGAATACAGTCACCTCACACACTCACCCTCCTCCTTCCTCCACCTGCTGTCAATCCCTGGCCTCCTTACCACCTCTAGATTCCCGCCTCTTCCAAAATACGATGAAATTCCAGTTTTGTGGAATGTAGCCTGTTATATGTTCTTCTTCCCTATGAAATGTGCCGTTAGGGGATCCCCAGGTGGCTCAGCGGTTTAGCATCTGCCTTCAGCCCAGGGCATGATCCTGGAATTCCAGGATCGAGTCCCGTGTTGAGCTCCCTGCACAGAGCTTGCTTCTCCCTCTGCCTGTGTCTCTGCATTTCTCTCTGTCTGTCTGTCTGTCTCTCTCTGTCTCTCATGAATAAAAAAATAAACAAATGTGCAGTTAATACTCATGCATATTTTTGAACTTCAAAACTTATTTCCTTTAAATGTTGATTAAAATCATCCTTTACAAATATTCATAATGATGGAGGATGTTTTTCTTACCTCAAGTCTGATCATTTTATAAAAAGCTGGTCTAAAAATTAGTGTGCAGATTTTTATTGCTTTCACCTGAGGTGAATATGAAAAGGAATTTCCATAAACAAGCACATCAGGATTTTTCTCTAGAAAGATTTTTTTTTACTTTATATAATTTTTCAGTATGGCATTGATTTATGTGTTCAATACAACATCAAATAATAAGAACTAGTCATCTGGTTGAAGCTAAGGGAATAATGATCCCAGCTGCACAGAACGCTGACACGTGCATCAGCAGAGCAGGGATGGGCTGAAGGACCATAACAGCCTCATGACTTATGAGTGTTTCATTTACTGAAACATCAGTAGATGATAAGTGAATGTTCACTAGTCTAGAAGAAACTGTCCCAGCTCATGAGGACAAGATTTTTGGTATGGTTTAATACTTGTTGTGTACAAATGGGGATAATCTGAGTGACTCTGAGGTCAGAGACGATGAAGGAGACTCCATTCCCAGGAGGCACCCCAAGATGCACCTGGACCCGCACATCAACTGAAGAATAAGCAGAAACCCAGGGGGAGCCTAAGCAGGCAGCTGCTGGGGCGCTCACTCACTTTGCAGACGGGTAAGTAGGTTTTTGTCTCACTTCCCCACAGGCCTGGAGCACCGTGGGAGCACTGAGACTGCTGTCATAAGATGAGCAGTAATAATCAGCCTCGTCCTCAGCCTGGAGTCCAGCAATAGTCAGGGTGGCTGTGTTGCCTGACTTGGAGCCAGAGAATCGATCAGGAACCCCAGAGGGTCGAGTATTGGTACTATAGATGATGGTTCTGGGGCCTGTTCCTGGGAGCTGCTGGTACCAGCCCACATAACTGCTATAACCAACGTTGGAGCTGCTTCCAGTGCAGGAGATGGTGACCCTCTGGCCCAGAGACCCAGACACGGAGGCCTGTTGAGTCAGCACAGACTGGGCCCAGGACCCTGCAAGGGGGAGAGACACAGAGAGGGTGATGCTGGGGTCTGGAGACAAGAGAAGGATGCAGGACAGCACACATCCTCCCAGGCCCCCTTCACAGTCTCCACATCCATTCACCTGTGAAGTGAGCGAGGAGGGTGAGGAGGAGAGGAGACCAGACCATGGTGGAGGTCTTCACTGATCCTGCCTTCTGCGGCTCCACAGCTGAGCAGAGCCTCCCCTCATCTCTCCCTTCCCCTCTTCATCCTCTGAGAGAGGGAGGGGCCCTTCCATGCAAATGAGACCCCAGTTGTCTGGTCCCTCAGTGGCCTGGGTCAAGTCCCTCTGCCTGGGGATGTGAAGGGTGTGGGCAGGGGAGGGGAGGGGCTGTGTAGAAACCTGAGGTAGGGAGGTCCCAGCTGTGAGCCCTGAGCAGAGGGCACAGGCAGTGCCTGGTGGCAGGTCCCAGCTATTATCACCCCTGACTCTTTAGAAATGGACCCCCTAACCCCCTGGTGTCCAATCCCAGATACACTATTGTGTGACTTGGTGATCGGAGCCCATCTAAAACAAAGGGTCCTCCCCACTGCTCTGTCCACTGCTTTAGGGCCAGGTCAGGAGTCCCCTTTGTAACCTCCCATTTCCAGAGGACAAACTTTCTGCTTTACTTAGACTTCTCATGGGTAAATGTGTCCATAGTTTCTTGGGTGTTTTTCACTCAGAATTGAGGTGGTGTCTCTATACAAACTCTTCTTGGATCAGGATCAAGTCCAGAGCAGTGACGGGTCTCTATGGACATTTGGAACCTTCAGTGTGAGATGCTGTGTTCTCTCCTGTTATGTGACTCATCCCTGAGTTCTAGAGGATTCCTTCCTCAGAGGTTTGTACATCAAAGAAGAGATAGGGAGAAAGCTGTCCATGTTTTGGGTAGAAGCCCTTGAATTCATTCCTAGTAGATAATATTCTGAGAATCTTTGTCACCTGTCCCTACTTACACTCGGTTGTCACAATAGTTCCCACACACTGTTGGCAGGGACTCCCTCCTAGGGACTCTCTTCCCAGCACATGGTCACAAAACTGCAGGAGCCCAGCCTCATGAGGTTGCGAGTGTCGCTGACATCAGAGCACAGGGGACAAAACTGCTGGAATGTCTTGTCAGACAGGAGTGACTGCTGAAGTTGCTCTGACAGAGACCAAGGGACAGAGTGATGTGTGAGTCACCAGTTAGTCAACTGTGCATTTAAAATGGATGTGGCCTATTTACACAATATTCCTCACAGTAAGATTTATTTAAACTCAGTGACAAAGTCATTGTGAGGCTGCAGGTGGAAACACTATACACCTGTCCCAGATCTGTGCTTAGTGAGAGGGAATATGGATAGAAATTCTGGCTAAGGAATTGGATGCAAAAGCAACTGTAAAAGAAGGCCTTCTGTTCTTGCTTGAAACAGAGTCTACAGACTTTTTATGAAATCAACTTTCTACTTTTGGTCATAAGTTTAGTATTGTGAATTTTTTTTCTATAAGCAGGAAAGTCCAAAGTGATTGCTAATGAAACTCAAGGAGAGCCTATGCCTACAAAGTTCAGAGCCGTGTCAGCCATGGAATCACCAAACACACACAGAGTTTCCAGGGCGGAGCAATCTGAGGTCAGACTTGACTCTGGGGTGGACACAGCTGTAGTCCTTCTGCCTGGTACCCAGCATGTTCAGGACAGATTTTCACTCATTCAGCCGTTTTTTCATTGGGAGATGAATATCTTCAAAAGGAGGTATTTTCATTAACCTTTTACACTTAAAAAAGTCTGAACTATCAATCACTCTCTTTCTTGCAAGATACAAAGCATTTGTAACCTGATTCTGAGCCTCTGTTGGTCACAGGCAGGGACAGGGGAGTGATGGAATAAGACGTGGAAGATAGACGTTAACACACATCCCCAGGAAACAGAAGTTCTCTGTGTGATAATGGTAGTATGCTGCTCTACAGCAATGATGACCAATCTCTCCTCAGGCGACAGCCCAAGGTTGTCGAAGGTGTTTTTGTCAACACACCCACACCTGGAAAATCGGACTTGCACCCCTGGCTGGTCTCTCAATGCTGTTGTAGGTCACAATGTAGGATCTCTGCCTGGGAACTGTGGTACCAATGCCAGGGTTACCCCTGTGTTTCTACGGTTCTTGTGCAAGAGAAGGTGACCTCGGATATGGGCTCATTAAGAGGTTCCCTAGGGGAGGGACACATGTACACATGGGAGAGTTCTTATTCCTCACGTCCACAGCCCTCACATCCCTGGATTATGGAAAAGCTACAATGGGACTAAGGAAAGAGGGAGACAGAGTCAGTACTTTTGGACTTAGGACACCCACTCACAGGAGTCTCCATTAACCTGTTGGCAGCTATAGCAGATGCTCATTCACGGACCCACATCACCCAACTTAACTAATGCACGCTGAGAATTTTCCCAGTAATGGGGCAACATCCCCCAAATCTCATATTCCATAAAATGGTTCATGGTCCCAAATTCCCTCTTTGACTGAACCCTTCTCTTCAACTGCACAATGGAAACCTCAGGTGCTGAGCAAATGATCCTGTCCAGCTCTGAGAATGGAATTTCCCAGGGCCTGTGTCCTCACAAAACATCCCAGATCCTAGTGCTCAGGCCTGAGACACAGTGAACCTTGGCCACTTCTGAGCACTGGAGCCTGGGAGGGAAGGGAAGGCTGTGCTCTGAGCCTGGAGGTGCTGAATCCATGCTGGGGAGGACTGCACCCTCTGCTTAGATGGTCTAAGACCTCTGAGGGGGACAAAGTCAAAGAAAGGCTCTTTGTCCTCATTTCAGGAGAAAAACACTTACCAGCAGAGAATCCGGTTTTATGACATTTGGAAATGCAGGTAACATGAATATTACAACATTGAAGTGTTTTGTTTTATTTTTGTTTTATGTTTTTTTTCTGAGGACATAGAGACACTGATGAGATAATTGAGAATAAACCCATTATGAACCAGGTGGCACTTGTATGTACACAGTATATATATACAACTTATTTTAAAAGTATAAATTTTCATGGAAGAAGAATCTGAAGAGATGAAGGATTTTGTCCCATGTCCTGATTTGCCACTGTCACTGTGAGAAGCATTATTGTTTCTGATTAGAGAGTGAAGGTCAGTCTAGTCCTCAGGCTGTAGCCCAGAGATGACGGAGCCCTGCCTTGCCTGAGGCATCCTTGGATCAGGAGAAGTGGCTGGGGACCCCAGAGCCCTGGTGCTCATCTGAGTCTGAGTAGTAGTACAGGAGGTACCGGGGAGGGCTCCGTGGCTTCTGCTGGAACCAGTGTATGTAGTAGCTGCCAACACTGGGGCCACTGCTCTGGGTGCAGGTGAGTCTAACTGTTGTTCCAGGAGATGCAGAGAGGGAGGGCACTGGGTCCGCAAAGGCTGGGACAGGGACCTGCAAAAACACTGACACTGATGGGTAATGGAGCAAAGACCAGAGAAAACTTCCCAGTAGCTGAGCCAGAGGGGCTGATGGAGCCTAGGAACTGGGACCTGGTATGTGAGGCCTGTCTGTACCTGTGCACTGAGAGAAGTACATCAGGAGACAGGAGTCCAGGACATGGTGACCGTCCACACCAGGTGGGCATCCGCAGATGCCTCCTTTTACCCCCATTATTTTCTACCAGAGGGTGTCCATGCAAATGAATTCCATCTAGTGATTTCCCAGCCCCTCCCTGAGCCTTGGTGCTGGAGCTCAGCTCACACCCCATTGTGGAGGTTGGGAGTTGGCTTCCCCCCTGGGGAGAGCCCTGGAGGAAGAACCTGCTGAGACCACACAAAGTCCCTGCTCAGGGTACTCCTCCAGGCCTGAGAGAACACAGCTGCTGAGTCCCCATCAGTGAGCAGAGGGCTCAGCACACAGACTCAGGCTTCCTTGAGTGAATGTTCCTCCCTGAACAGTTATGTAGGACCCACAGGTCCACACCTCCCCCTGTTGGTCACACACCCACCCCTTCTGGGATCAAAGCCCTGGGAGCCCAGGGGCTTTCACCAGCTCACCAGGGCCCTGTCCACACCCCCATGTCTGATCTCTAGATACCATGATTCGTATACACTGCACACGATTACTCTGGTCTCATTCTCTGAAGTGATGCTTCCCTATCTAAAGGACAACCATGTGCACAAATAGCCAATTAATGTGTCACCAGAGAAGTTACCACAAAAGGTGAAAGTTAAGCGTGTATCATGTCAAGCATCACTGATCAGAGGACAGTGGAGCTGGTTTGAAGGGCTGGTAGGTGCATAAGACACATTCAGAGATCAATATTTAACAAGTATTCTGAGATATATTTATGGAAGTTAGTGTTCAAAAGCATCTATTAATATATTTTTAAAAATATATATTTTTTAAATTTTTAAATTTTTAATTGGAATTCAATTTGCCAACATATAGCATAACACCCAGTGCTCATCCCGCCAAATGCTCCCCTCAGTGCCCATCACCCATTCACCCACACCCCCCGCCCACCTCCCTTCCACTACTTCTTCATTTCCCAGAGTTAGGTGTCTCTCATGTTGTGTCACCCTCACTGATATTTTCACACATGTTCTCTACTTTCCCTTTATTCCCTTTCACTATTATTTATATTCCCCAAATGAATGAGACCATTTAATGTTTGTCCTTCTCTGATTGACTTATTTCACTCAGCATAATACCTTCCAGTTCCATCCACGTCGAAGCAAATGGTGGGTATTTGTCATTTCTTTCTTTCTTTTTTTTTTTTTTTGTATTTGTCATTTCTTTCTTTTTTTTTTTTTTTTTTGTTTTGTTTTGGGTTAGGGCTAGGGTTAGGATTAGGGTGCGGTTTAGTGTTAGGGTTAGGAATATGGTAGGGATTAGGGTTAAGTTTATAGTACGGGTTACGGTTAGGGTTACGATACAGGTTAGGGTTTGAGTTAGGGTACGGTTTAGGGTTAGGGTTAGGGTACGGGTTAGGGTTAGGTTTTGGGTACGGCTTACGGTTAGGGTTAGGATTAGGTTTAGGGTTAGGGTTAGGGTACAGGTTAGGATTAGTGTTAGGGTAAGGTTTAGGTTTAGGGTTAGGTTTAGGGTTAGGGTACGGGTAGGGTTTGGGTACGGGTTAGGGTTAGGGTAAGGTTACGGTTAGAGTTAGGGTTAGGGTTAGGTTTAGGGTACGGGTTAGGGTTTGGGTTAGGG